AGTAATACTCGAATGCTCTAATATCATAGTGGAGTGTGTACATTAGCGGACAAAATTCCCTGGACATTTCTAGCGGTATGTGGTATCTAGTTAAGGGTCAGGTAGGCAACAAGTATTGGGATATTATTTTTATTTTCTCAGATATTTGTATTTTTGTGGGTTTTTTTTGTGTTGTTAGTCTGATATAATTTAAAATGAAGAGAAAAGTTCACCAGCTATAAACTGATAAGAGATAGGAAGGACGTACAGCCATAAAACTTGTTATAAATTTACCTGATGGCAAACGGGACACGATGCCATCAGTTAATCACAGGTGACCTACATAAGCGTGGAAAGTGGGTCATACAACGGTGGTGATGGAGGTGATAATGTTATAATATTTTTAAGTAATCTTAGTGTCAGCTATGGAAAGTTTATGGTCTTGTCATATTAGAGAAGTAGTACAAAAAAAAAGGTAAGTTTACTATTTTTGTTTGTTAGTGGTTAATTGACACTCCTGGGGAAGGTGTGTGTGAAATATAATAATCACACAGTCAGAGAGTTTAAAGTAGATGTTCAATAAATAAACTAATTTAATGTACAGGTGCTTAATATTCCTGGCCACTAGAGCTCCTAAATACATTAAACCAACAACAATAATAAACTTATGCATGCTTATCCACAATACTGTTCGGTAGTGTCTCACAGTTTTACCAGACAATTTGTACACTTTCACCAAAAACTCCCCAAACGGTATAAGAACTATGCAATCTGAAAAAAATGAACGAAGAATCTGAAACCCTTCCGATATGACAACCATTCTACTCATTCTCACATGTGTCGTGCCAAGGTGTTCGGTGAGTGTGTACAGCGCCCCACAGTACTTCCTGACTCACATTATCACGTTAACGTAATGTATAAACACAACAACGTCACGCGATATACATATTCATTACCCTAATCACCTGACACGGAACTACTGGCCTTGGTGGCGAGGCACGGACGGCCATGGACGGATAAAGCCAGACGTGGACTTGATTAAGACACACGGGTGAGCACGGACATGTATCAGAGGACACAGATGAACATGCGTTAGGGGCCAGAGTATATGAATATGTATAAACAATGGTGAGTATATGTACACACAATGGTGAGTGAGTATGTGTACACACTATAGTGAACAAGTGCAAGTATACTCGTACATAACAGTGAGCCAGTATACACACAACTGCACATCAACAAAATGTACAGTAATCCAGCTGTATAAAACACAGGTGTAAAAAAAAAGAGATTTTCGCAGGACGTGTGTGTGTGTGTGTGTGTGTGTGTGTGTGTGTGTGTGACAACATCTACATACTTGTAATGTTTGTAATAGTAAACACACACATAATATATATATATATATATATATATATATATATATATATATATATATATATATATATATATATATATATATATATATATATATATATTTAATCCATTTTCAAAGCTACTGAACAAATCATTCTTTCGCCACAGATAAGGACATTGGCATCAACATGTTTTGAACTGGTGGGAGTTATATGATACAGCAAAAGTAATGTGTGGCAGAGTTCCAGTGTTATTCCGTGATATAAATAAATTTGGCAGCCATGTTAGAAAAATGGCAGCAAAAGGCACGAGCTCTCCCAGGTGCCCCTCGTACACGGCTGCTGCTGGGTACCAAGTAAAGGTACACTGACAAATTTCACCAATAATGAGATATCCCCGCGAGTATGTCATGATTAATGTATTTTTCCTACGCTGACTCGAGGCGGACAAGGCAGCAGTAGTTGTATCTGGGAGCGTTCGTGACTTACATAAATGATACCACCTGAAGATTAATCTCAAGCTTAATTCACCCAAACGCTAACTTAGCCTAACCCTCCCAGGCAGCTTTAGGTTGTTTAATCATCACGTGACATAAGCTGGAGGGAGATAATCTTCAGGTGATCCCGTCAATGACAGCTAATCCCTACTGTCTGGCTTTAATGACTAGTTTTTAGTCAGAAATTTAACCAAGTTTGTGATGGACTTCCTTTATGTCGTAATATCATAATGCAAGTTAAAAGACGAATCAATTTATTGTAAGTCTCGTATAGGTCCATCACATTGTTTATAAGCTATGTTACTAAATAAAAACAAACAATCATTTAGAGCCAGTATATATGTATGTATGTATGTATGTATGTATGTATGTATGTATGTATGTATGTATGTATGTATGTATGTATGTATGTATGTGAGTATACACGTGTTCACCTGGTCCAGTATAGCGTCAGGCACCACACATCCAATATCTACCATTTTTAACTCTCATGCGACGCGACCGAGAGTAAGCCTTTGTCAAGCTAACGTTCTCACACGTTAGAAGTGTATTTGATGGCTCTAAAACCAGCATACAAAAAATAAAAATAAAATAACCATAAACCCTACAAAAACAAAATCATTATTGTATAAAACATTAAAATAAAATATTTATACATGTATTTTATATTTCTGGGGATTTATTTTGTAAACTTCGGATATCGAAATTAAAATCCGATATATTAAAATGAAAAAACTTTTGATAAATATTTGAACGGTTATTATTGCTTTACCTTGAAGTGAGTTCTGTCTGAAATCTTGATTGAAAAATATAACCCAAAAAATATATTGGTTCGTATTTAGGTCAGAACATATTATTCTCCTTCCCTTTATATCTCGTATTCTTCCACCTCCTCCTCTTCTTCCTTCTTCCACCTCCTCCTATTCTTCCTCCTTCCCCCTCTTCCTCCTTCCCCTATTCTTCCTGCTCCTCCTCCTCTCCCCCTTTCTTCTCCCCCTCTCTCACCTACTTAACCCTTCCTCGAAAGAAGCTTATAATATTAATATCGCAATCTCCATTCACCAATATATTACAGCAAGAAAACGACCTTCACACGACATAACTATCGATAACATAACTACTACTTCGTCTGGTCATTACAGCCGATTGGTATATTAGTTGTTGAAGTTGTTTGCAGAGGGGAAAGGGGGGGGGAGGGGGTTGTTTTGCTTGACGATGAAGGCAATCAACCACGATCTGGGCTGGTGGTGGTGGTGCTGGTGGTGCTGGTTGTTGCAGTATCTGGGGTGTAGTGTTAGAGGTGATCGGTAATGTTTATTGTTGTGGTGGTTGTGGTGATGGTGGTGGTGATACTAGTTATGGTAATGGTTGTAGTGACAATGGTAGTGATGTAGATAGTGATGATGTTAGTGTTTGTGCTGGTGTTACGTATACAATGATGATGATAATGATGGTGTTAGTTACAGTGATGATGATGATGATGAAGATGATGTTATTAGCTACAGTGGTGAAGGTTAATAACAAGTTGTGGTAATAAGAGACAACTGGCTGGCTAACAACAGAACTAGCGTCTACTCCTATCGCGTGTTATTGGGTATTGACGATCCAATCCTCTATACTAGCAAGGGAATAAATGATTGACTCGCATCTATAAACGATTTATTGAAGTAGCATCACGACCAAGGGGTTTAAAGTCCTACAAAAAATATAACAAATAAGCGTAGTAATATTTAAAAACTTTCATATAAAGAGATCACCTGTAGATTAGACACCCTAGTATATTTCACCTGTAGATTCACCACCCTAACACTACCTGGGGAGGGGGAGGGGGGTATTGAAGGATATTTTAGGACAGATTAGGTAAAGGTATGTTAGGTTAGGTTAGGTTAGGTTAGGTTAGCATTAGGGTGATTAATCTATAGGTGAAATATACTGGGGTTTCTAATCTACAGGTGAAAGATACTGGGGTGTCTAATCTTCAGATGATGCGATATGTAATTGTCATGTTAATCAGTGTTTGTAATAATGTCTCCGTTACCTTAGAGAATTAAGGAGAGTCAGATAGTGGTTATTGAAGCTGTATAGAACTAAACCTGGTTTATCTCGTGGTCCTGACTCGCTAAATCATAATGTTATTCTCAAATTACGTGTGGGTAGTCGGGTTACACTTCCTGGTAATTTACAATTCAGACGATTATTATTGAATTGTGAGTTAAATGAAGGTTGGAAGTCCTCTAACTGACGCTGAAGTTATGACGAACGGTGATTACTGACACACACACACACACACACACACACACACACACACACACACACACACACTCACTCAGTCACACACACACAAAACAATTACATATCGGAAATTTCACAAATAATAACATACACTAACATCAAATTCAATAACTAATCACACATATTACCTTCTATGTCACACTAAAAACAGCAGCTGACGTCATAATCACTACTGAGTAAAGTAACACAAGAACAGGTTAAAAATTATGATACAAATGAACAGCAGGTGATGTTAATGTTAACCGGATTATAACACAAGACTCATGCCACAATTAGGCAAATAACAAGTCAGGTGTCGTGCTAGATTAGGCAAGGAATATGTGTGTGTGTGTGTGTGTGTGTGTGTGTGTGTGTGTGTGTGTGTGTGTGTGTGTGTGTGTGTGTGTAGATAACATAATAATCCAGGGTGTGACGTACTGTACTAAGTGTTTACAAAGTCCCTTGATGTTCGTGTTGACAGGCCCGCGAGAAAGTCACATAAACAAAACACCAAAACTCCATTATTTTCTACTCATAAATGTGTTCATTATTATGTTCACTCTGACTTATACACTCAAGTTGTTCCTTTATTTCACATTTCCTTCTATAACCATTACGAAAACGTCATAACTAACGTGGCGAATAACAGTAACGTGTAGAAATTAATGTTACATCTCAATGGATTCTTTCTACACGAGCACCAAGGGACTTTATAAACACTGTCCCTCACTATCCACTCACAAGGAAAACCATTATCAGTTCATCAGTCGAGGAAGAAGGTCACTGGGTTTAGTAAAGATAAACAAAAAAGGGAAATATATTTCAAATTCTATATCTATAAAGACGTCACTACTAGAATAATATTGAGGACATACAATCACGAAATAACAACCACCAACAGCCGCCCACCAGACCACAGTCGCCCACCAGACCACAGCCGCCTACCAGACCACAGCCACCCACCAGATCACAGCCACCCACCAGATCACAGCCGCCCACCAGATCACAGCCACTCACCAGATCACAGCCGCCCACCAGACCACAGCCACTCACCAGATCACAGCCGCCCATCAGATAACAGCCGCCCACCAGACCAGCCACCACCAGATCACAGCCGCCCACCAGACCACAGCCAGCCAGCCACCCACCAGACCACAGCCACCCACCAGATCACAGCAGATCACCCACCAGATCACAGCCACTCACCAGATCACAGCCGCCCACCAGACCACAGCCACTCACCAGATCACAGCCGCCACCAGATCACAGCCACCCACCAGACCACAGACCAGATCACAGCACACACCACCAGATCACAGCCACCCACCAGATCACAGCCCCACCAGATCACAGCCACCAGATCACCCACCACAGCCACCACCAGATCACAGCCACCACCAGCAGATCACACAGCCACCCACCAGATCACAGCCACCCACCAGATCACAGCCACTCACCAGATCACAGCCCACCAGATCACACAGCCACCACCAGACCACAGCACCAGACACAGCCAGATCACAGCCACCCACCAGATCCAGCCACCACAGATCACAGCCACCCACCAGACCACACAGCCACCCACCAGATCACAGCCACCCACCAGATCACAGCCCTCACCAGATCACAGCCGCCCACCAGATCACAGCCCCACCAGACCACAGCCGCCCACCAGACCACAGCCGCCTACCAGACCACAGCCACCCACCAGATCACAGCCACCCACCAGATCACAGCCGCCCACCAGATCACAGCCACTCACCAGATCACAGCCGCCCACCAGACCACAGCCACTCACCAGATCACAGCCGCCCATCAGATAACAGCCGCCCACCACACAGAGGTATACACTTATAACACTCTGTATAGTATAGTTAGTTCACGCCCTCAACACTTCTCTCTCCCTTTATTACCTTTCATGTTTATGGTGTAGTTGAGGCGACCACTAACGAGGTTATTTTTTTTAATAATAAGAGTGTTAGTTCTCCTGGGGTCTCTTAATGCTTCACACAACACACCCACACACACACACACACACCCACACACACACACACACACACACACACACACACACTGACAAATTAACTAAATTTATTCACGTGTAAAAGTTGTTGTGGTTCGTATCTTCATCCACGGTGTCTAAATATATGTAGATTTATTTCATTATTAATTACTAATATATTCGTTTTTCTACAAGTGTTAACATAAACAATTTGTTCTGAGTCTTGACAGTTACATTAGAGAATTAAGATAAACCTCAAATATTAAGTTACATGAAGAAAATTTTCCAAAGTTACGATTAAATTTTTGGGCTACGATAGTAAGCTCAAATACCACCTTAACTGACCTAACCGATGAAGATTTTCGTCAGTGGGGGGGATATCAGTTTCAAGAGTAGTGAAGAACTCCTCCCCTTGTTATGCTGTGTACACTATGAACTTGATATCACCGAGCTCAAACATGATTAAGTGTGATGGTAAAGACAATACTGATCACCTGAAGAATAGTTCCCCCCTAGTTTATTTCACCTATACGGTACGACCAATACAGTACGACCAGCAACACAACAGTACGAGCCATAGCACAGTACGACCCACAACAGTCCGACTCATAACACAGTACGACCCACAACACAGTACGTCCCACAACACAGTATGACCCACAACAACATTACGACCCACAATAACAGTACGACCCACAACAACAATACGACCCACAACAGTACGACCAACAATAGTACGACCCACAACACGGGAAGAAGGAGGAGACACGTGCCGCGAAATTACATCTGGGAGGGAGAATAATGGTCAGGGTATATTCCTCAGCCCGTGAAAAATGTTTGGTAATGTGAAATCCAATACCCCAGCTGGTGGTACACTGAAGGTCACTGAGCATGGCAGACCTGTGAGGGTGTGGGAGGTGTGGGCCACAGTAAACAAGCACCACAGCCCAGATATTGACGGGTGGGTCACGAAAAGCACCACAGGAAGGAAGATGGAGGGGTGGGCCACAGCAAATATGTTGAAGGTGGTGAGTCTCAGCAAACACCACACTCCACATGTACTCAAAGCAAAACTACAGCCATGGGAACAAGCACTCACCACAGCAAGCAGAAATGCAGGCAAATTAAAATTATAGGCCACAACTCACTAATAAACAGCATCTACCACAGCAACCTTACTAAAATGCGGTTCACAGAAAACGACAGCAACTTTGAGCACGAAAAACAGCAAACACCACAGCACCTGGCTCATAGACGGTCCACAGCAAGTATCACATCATGGAAACGGATCACGGAACACAGCACGCAGCTAGACACGGAACACAGCACTCAACACGGCATAGAAAACAGCACCACAGTTTGACCCGGAACACAGCCTGCAGCTTGATCATGCACTCCAGTAAACACCTCCAGCAAGCACCACAGTAAGCTTGATCATGCACTCCAGTAAACACCTCCAACAAGCACCACAGTAAGTAAGCTTGATCATGCACTCCGGTAAACACCTCCAGCAAGCACCACAGTAAGTAAGCTTGATCATGCACTCCAGTAAACACCTCCAGCAAGCACCACAGTAAGTAAGCTTGATCATGCACTCCAGTAAACACCTCCAACAAGCACCACAGTAAGTAAGCTTGATCTTGCACTCCGGTAAACACCCCAGGAGGCGCCAGAATAACAGACAAGCCAAGGTCATATATTCACCTGTTCGCTGTATTTACTACTTCACCACCGCCGACACGATACACCAACCTCATAAATTTCACCCAAAATATGATGCTAAGTCGTCGTGGAGCTACAGAGAACCGTAACTCAGGGAGAATATAATATATAGCTCCACCAGACACTCAACCACACCTTCGTCTTCAGGTGTAATACTGACCTTGAAATCTCTATTGGAATTTAGTTTTAAGTTTTTAGGTGTGACTTATAATGGACTATTGTGTTTCTTGTCTATTGAGAATCAAATATTTAATTCTACTTCTCTGAAAAATGGTTGAATGCTAAGTAGTGAGTGTGTTAGCTTAATTAGTTTATTCAGTTTGGTTCACATTGTTAAACGCCTTAGCTTATTTCAGCTGAAGATTAATCAGGTTAGAGCTAATCTAACCTAATCTCCCGAGGTAGCGTTTGGGCTGGCTAACCACTCAAACGCTAACCAAACCTATCCTTACCTACCCTCACTTAACCTAACTCCCTATAGTAGCGTTAAGATGTGTTTAATCCCCAGGTGATCCTTCAGTTATTTTACAGTACTGTTTATATCATCTAAGATCACAATCGAAAATAAATACGTCTTTTAATAGATAATTGTTAACCGTAGTCCGAACTGACAGCAAAAACGACAAAATTCGCCTCCGAGACAGCCGTGGGGTTGCAATGGTGAGTGTAGCACGTCAGGTTTAGAGACAAAAGGAAGACATCTGAGCCGAAGTGTCACATCAGGCGGCGGGTGTGGTAATGTATTTGTCTGCTGCGTTCTATTATCCAGCAACAGTTTGTAAGAGATCTGTGCTGCATCACAAGTTGCCTTTGTCCTGCCACGCTGTAACTTATTGTCAGGGTCACCTTAGTGGACTCTTAAGGCCCTGACAGACGCACACACACACACACACACACGTAAGTGACCAAATATATAGGAGACTTTTCTATAAATAAATAAATAAATAATTAATCCTCTCCTGTGATTCATCTAGATTAAAACTCTCGTAACTTGACATCGACCTCTATGGGTGTAACTGACCTCTTGCTCCTCACACTCATAATGATGAACAAGCTGTGAAGGATACGGGAGAAAAATATAAAGGGGTGGTGGAGTTAAAGGGGCGCTCCCAGCCCATCACACCCAGCTGGTAAACCCGCTATATAACTCCTAAGTTGTTATTTACTTCTTATATTTATGAAGTATATCATGTGACATATTCACATAACATAACTTTATGTTCTGAAGTCCATAAGTTACCTAAAGAACACTGTAAATAAGAGAATCAATGAATGTGTGTCTAAAGAAAACACAAAGTGGTGTCGGAGACTTGGGTAGCGTGAGCTTGACCCTGGAGCTGGCAGATGGCAGCACCTTGCAGTCACTTGCCAGGATATCTTGCCCGGGGGAGTTGGCGAACCGCGCGAGGTGTTTAAAATGTTTTTGAAGGCCGAATTGAGTGCAGGAGCCTTAGCGTTAATTTGAATGCTGAAAAAAAAGACAGCAAGCGTCTAGCGAAAATGTTATTTTGTGCGTGTGTGCGTGTGAGTGTGTGTGTGTGTTTCCAGTACAGTGGACCCCCACATCGAGACTCGCTTTCTGATTTTTGTCGATAAAAACAAAGATTGCGATGAACTTGACAGCTTTCGAGTAATTCTATCGTCTATTTCCTTAATATATGAAACGTGGGAGACTGTTGACACCTATGGAGGCACGAACGATACTTTATAGGTAACTCTGGACACCTGTGAGACACTGTTCACACTCACGGGACACACTCGAGATGTGAGCTAAGATGTATAATATTACAGCTCGCCCTTTAATTTTTTCTTCGTCTTCTCCATACAAGTAATGGATTATATTTACTTTTGGACAAATTTACAGATGATTTGGAATGAAGTTGAGGCATATTACTCAGGATCCCCAATAACAGAGGTGCTCCATAGTGTGAATTATTGCAATAAAATGATAATAAAAATAAAAATAACAATGATGATACTAACCATATTCGAATGGGCACAACGGCCGCATTACACACAAGTAGACAATAAATATAAAAATAAAGACTATTTTAAGGCAATATTTATGAAACTCAAGGAAATACAACACGCTGTGGGCCCTCACAGCGACCAACCCATAAAGTATTATTTGATGGCAGCTTCTGAAAAACGCCTGATGAAACCAAGTGTTGTCAGCATTAGTGAGGGAAGTGTTGTGTGGGCGAGTGCAAGCCCGTCGCCTCGCCTCTCTCTCGTAAATTCGCAGTTTACAGCCCTCAGGCTTCTCCTCTGTCCTCACAGTGTAAACTTCTCACAAAAATTTACTGGCGGGTGTCGTAAAACGCGGCGTCAAGGAGCAAGAGACAGGCAACTTTGGCCGGGGCCTCAGCAGCGTGTCATGAGGTAGGCAGTTTGTTGTGTGCCCCACCAATTTGTTGTGTGCATGACCTGGGAATGATGGTTTGCTGGGAAGACCTCTCCATATTGGTAGTTTTTTGTGCGGTCGACGAAACTGTAAATAACTATATGCTGGTAATATATAGTTACTACATAAATACTTGCAATATATAAAGTTACTAGAGTGAGCTTTACATGTTAATATTATATACAAAAGTTACGTTATATACCAGTTTATATATCATAATGAGTTAAAAACTTAAATACACGAAACCAAAGAGAAATAAAGAACAAAAGTCACCAGGAGTTGGTCACACTGGCCGTGTTAAGCCTCACATGACTAAAACTCGCTCATGAAGCTTAGAAAACATCCATCAGTCAGGTCAGGAGACACAAATGTTAGACTGACTTAATTGAGCCAAAAATAAAAGTGTGGACGAGTAGTCAAACAACACCTCAACGTTAATGGTCAGTATGCCTTTATTTCATATTAATTTATGTTCATTAAATATATCCACTCTCTGACGCCTGTTGAGTAATGTTTAATGCATATCTTCTTTATTAAATATACTTTATAAATTTTTCGCTGATTCACTATTATTTCCTGTATTCTTAAAACAGTAAGTAAATATTGTCGTCTCGCTGAACATATTATCTGATGTAACATGATTTTTTCTTTACTCTACAGGCCTTTAACAACCAAGTCGGGTGATGGCAGATACA